AGGGACCCTCCATCCACCCAGGGATGCTGTCCACGCAGGGACCCTCCATCCGCCCATGGGCCCCCCCATCTTTCCAGTGACTGTATCATACCTTATTTCTTTACTACTGGATATTTAGGTTGTTTCCTGGTTTCTCGTACTAAAACCAGCGCCTTATTAAAAATTCAGAGTGTAAAGATCTTTCCGTATTTATGACTGCTAAGGACTAAGTTGTGTTCCCCCCGAATTCCCACAGTGAAGCCCTCACCCACCCCCAATATGACTGTAGGGCGGTAATTAAGATTAAATTAGGCCGTAACGTAAGGGTGGGGCCCTGATCCCACAGGACTGCTGCCCACTTTGGAGGAAGAGGCACCACTGATCTCCCTACACACAAAGGCCAGGTGAGCACACGGCAAGGACATGGCCAGCCGCACTGGAAACCGGCCAAGCTGCCCCACGATCTCACACCCCCAGCCTCCAGGACCGCGAGAAGCAAGCGTCTTGTGCGCACGCCCCAATCTGTGGCGTCTGCCGGGACCGCCTGCGCTAAAACCACCACCGTTTTTGTAGGACGATCTCAGAAGTGGAAATACCAAGATCCACAGCGGAACGTTTCTGTCCTCCAGGTGCGTGATGCCAAACTGCTTTCTGAAACGCTGAGCCGGCGTTCTGTCCCCTAACGCGCAAGGACGCCCTGCGAGCCTCCACGGAGGGGTGGCCCCCTTTGACCGAAGAGAAGCATTTCTGCCCAGCGCACTGTGGCTTCCCAGAGACCCTGGCAGCACCCACTGAACCAGCTCTGGGGGCACGCTCACGACGTGGGTCAGAGAACCACACGCTCGTCGGTTACGGCGACGCCGGAGCTGCGCAGGCTGCTCCTCACCACCCCCCACTCTGCAGACAGGACTGCCGGCCCGTGAGCGGGCCCCACGAGCCGGGCGTGAGGGCAGCGGCGGGTGCTGCCCGCCCACGGGGGCCCAGTACCTTGCACCGGGCTGGTGAGGCGCAGGTGGTGCGTGACCAGCCGCATGCACTCGGCATCCAGGAACTCGTACGCGGACAGGATCTCACCCAGCAGCCCCCTGCAGCTGCTGAAGGTCTGCAAAACCTCAGCAAAGCCTGGACAACCTGCAAAGACAGCAGGACCTCAGGCACAGGCACCAGAGCCCCGGCCGGACCACCCAGGGGTCCCTGTAGAGCAGCTGTGCCAAGCGGCCCTGGCGGGCGGGGGTCCTGGCAAGCGGGGCGGCCCGAGCAGCAGAGCACCCCACAGGGACACCTGCTGGTCAGCGGCACACACGTCACGGTAGTGGTGATCAGGGAGGAAACGCTCGTGGAGAACCCAGGGCGCTCAGGAAGGTGGCGGGGCCAGAGGGGCCGTGGCGCAGACACGGGGCCAGAGACGGGGCCACGCCGGCCAACGGCTTCACCACGTTTCTCTCAGCACAGTGAGCACTGGGTTTCTAGCAGCCATGGGTGAGTCACTCAACTTACGGGACAAGGAGAGTCTCTGAGGCGCCCCAGGCCCAGGGAGCCGGCCATGCAGCGGCCGGGGGCAGATGGGAAGGGCCCAGGAGACCGGCCCTGCACTGGGGAAGGGGTGGGACGTGCAGGGTCTTCCGGGCCGAGATGGGACGTGCTGACCGGCCCTGTGGGCGTCAGGGGAGTGTGTCCGCAGAGCACAAGGCCAGGCACAGAGGCCTGCTCTGCACACCCAGGAACACGTGGAGGTCCCACGGCTGGAACGTGGGGCTGGATGCGGCGGGCTCGGCCGCCTGGGGGCCACAGCTGACGGGAACGCTGGCAAACGGAAAACAGACGGGAAACTACCCAGAACGCGACGCGAGTGTAAAAGGGTGGAATCCGTGGGAGAGAGATTAAGAGGACGGGCTGCAAAGCTGTGTCGTGGGTCCAACCACAGTCCTCAAGGGAGAGGAAGACGGCGCAGACTTGAACTGACGAGACACCAAGACACAGGCTTAGGAGGCTCAAAAGATCCGAGGTAAAAATGTGCGCTCACAGGCAACAAACCCCAAACCACAGACGGCCAAAGATAAAGAGATAATCTTTAAAGTCACTAAAGAACAAAGCGCCAGAAACACTGGGAGCGGCGGCCGCGGAGGGTAGTGGGCCTCCCCATGACCCACCGCACAAGCGCAGGACGCAGGATGATCTTCAGCGGCCTGGCTTGTGCGACAGTGTCTCCAGGAGCGAGGGGAGTGAAGGCATTTCGGACGGGCCAGCAGAGACCGTGCTTACAGGGAGCACGGTCCCAATGCAGAAAGGCATGCCGAGTGGAGGAAACGGCACGTTTGTAGGAAAACAATAATTACAGCCAAGAGATTAGAGACCATAAGATCCTGCATCCTGCTGTGGGTTCAGACACCGCTAAACGCACCGAACGCAGGGACTGGGAGTTGAGTCACCCGCGGTGACCTCTAGAAGACTAGATGTCTCCACAGCTTCTGACCTAACAGAAGAGGACAGGCTCCGAGTGGAAACGAGACAGGACACGGACTCAGAGGAGAAAGAGACAAGCCCACGTTCACAGTCTGGAAGCAGAGGACCCGAGGGGCAGCTGGGGAGCCCTGTGGGGTCAAGAGGGCTCCCCATGCTGGAAAGTCACAGAATGCACGGTGCACGCTGACAGGGACAGCAGGGGACAGGGCGGGGACAGCACAGGGGACAGGGTGGGGGATAGCGGGGTCAGGGCGGGGGACAGGACAGGGACAGTGAGGGACAGGGTGGGGGATAGCAGGGATAGGGCGGGGATAGTAGGGACAGCGGGGGGACAGGGCGGGGACAGTAGGGGACAGGGACAGCAGGGGGACGGGTGGGGACAGAAGGGACAGGGCGGGGACAGTAGGGGGACAGCAGGGGACAGGGCGGGGACAGCAGGGGACAGGGCGGGGACAGCACAGGGGACAGGGTGGGGGATAGCAGGGACAGGGCGGGGATAGTAGGGACAGCGGGGGGACAGGGCGGGGACAGTAGGGGACAGGGACAGCAGGGGGACGGGTGGGGACAGAAGGGACAGGGCGGGGACAGTAGGGGGACAGCAGGGGACAGGGCGGGGACAGCAGGGGGATGGGTGGGGACAGTAGGGGGACAGGGCGGGGACAGCAGGGGGACAGGGCGGGGACAGCAGGGGACAGGGCGGGCAGTGTTCCTATGGCTGTGACTGATTCGGGAGCGAACACACCAGAAATGACACCATTTCCCTCAGAGTCAACGAGCCAGACAGGGTTGCAGAGCTGAGCAAAGCCCCAGTTCTGCTCCAGAACAAAGTGTGTTCTGCCCCGAGACGGGGGAGGCTCCCCTGCAGACCTCACTCTGGGAGCACCATCCCTCGGAGAGAAGCCAGGAGAGGCGGGAACGGCCTCCCTCATGCCGACGGACAGGGCACCGAGTGGTGCACCCTGACAGCCTGCCTACCGACGAAAGCCACGTTCACCGCCGTGGGCTTGGGCGGACACTGGATGGACACAGCCGTGATGACCCCCAGTGTGCCCTCCGACCCGATGAAGAGCTGCTTCAGGTCATAGCCCGTGTTGTCCTTCCGCAGAGAGGTCAGGCAGTTCAGGATGGTGCCGTCGGCCAGTACCTAGCCGAGGAGGAGAGAAGCAAGGCCCTACACATGGGCCCTCGTGGACGCCCCTCTCCTCCCACTCCCACGCCCGGGGGGCCCTCAGAAAGCAGAGCCAGGCATGAGCCCCTACCCCACCCCAGTCGGGGGCCCCGGGGTGACCCCAGGCCTGAGGCGCCCAGTCGGGCTGAAAGAAGGACTTTCATGCTCCCACCCCCAGGGAGCTCAGGGCCCAAAGCAGGGTGGCGGGAGGCAGGGCGGAGCAGGGGCGTGGCAGAGACCACGCTGCGCCGGCGGCGCCCTGTAGACCCCTCATCCACAAGGCTTCCCGACCTCACCCCGCACCGCCCCAACCGCCCGAGACCCAGAGAGAGTGCCCAAGGGGGCACAGACCCCCCAGAGCCAAGCCGGGTCGGGGCCCCTGCGGAGACCTCACACGCTGAGCACACTCAGCACTGGGGAGAGGCTGGGGAGCCGGGCCACTCGGACACAGGCACAGGGCACACAGAGGAAAGCGGGCCGGCGCCCCAGCTCACCACTTCCAGGCCCAGGACAGTCCCATGCAGTGAGCCGTAGCGCAGAAACCTCAGGCCACCAGCGTTGGTCGCCACGTTCCCCCCGATGTGGCAGCTGCCCTTGGCCCCCAGGTCCAGGGGCATGACGAAGCCTCTCTCCTCCACGTAGCGGCTGAGCTCCTCCAGGACACAGCCCGCCTGGCACACCAGGGTCCCTGCCGAGCCAAAGCGCTGCCGCGGGTGCATTCGGCCCAGGCGGGGCCAGGAGACTCATCGCGGGGCCCCTGCGGGGGTCAGCCCCGGGGCAGGGGTCCCCCTCCAAACCCGGACCAAGGAAAGGGAGTGTGTCCCCAGACCCGTCCCCCAGAAGTGACCCTTATCGTTTACCACGAGAAAGAAAAATTGCTAGGGCAAAAGTAAAGAAGAAAGTCCTCAGGCACACGCTCTTGCGGAAAAGAGCGGAAGAGCGTCACTATAAAGGCAGCAGCCCCTCGCCCAGGGCTGATCCCACCACCGGGGACGTGTGACTCTGGGGTGCTGCTGGCATGGAGCTCCCGTGCCCAGGTGCCCCCAGCACAGAGGATGCCCCACCCCAAATGCCCTGCTGGACAGACTGCTGGGGCCACTGAGCAGGAGGCGCCTGATGCTTCCCTGTACCCCACCCTTTGCACCCCATTTCCAAGGGCCTTCCTGGTCAGAAAATATCAGAGTCGGAGGGGCTGCGGCAAAAGCCCACCCCCTTCACCTCAGCCCCACCGCACAAGCCACCTCAGTGACAGGCCAGAGAGCACCCCCAGGGCAGACAGAGCCGGACCTCTCCTCCCCAGCCCGGGGCCCTCACCACCCGGCCGCAGTGCAGGCTTACCTGACACGCTGTGGAAGCTGATGACCTGGTTCATCTGGGCGGTGGACAAGATGATCTCATCAAAGACAGGCACGCTGCCCCCCACCATGCCCGTGTTTCCCCCCTGCGGGTTCACAGCCAGGTTCCTCTCATGACAGTACCTGGGACAAGCACAGGACGGGTATCGGGGTCCTGTCCCTCCACCCACACCACCGTCCCTGCAGGACGCGATCCAGGCCAACCCTGGCTGCGAGCCCACCGAACCTTGAGTCCCCCTTCCTCCTGCCCGTGGCCTCCATGGGGACTTCCTCAGTCCCCGTGCTCAGCCGGTGAGTCTGAGGAGACCGGGGTCTACCCGTGAGGCTGCACGGTCCCAGACAGGGTGGCCCTCCTGGGGTGAACCTCCTGAGAGGCCACACCCCTCCCTGCACAAGCCCCAGACCAGCAGCACCCCCTGCTGTCCACCAAAAGCAACGCAGCCCCCCACGTGTCCGTTAGACCTCCACCAGAAACTGGCCTGGAAGCGCAAGGAGCACCTAGACGTGGCGCGGAAACGGCCAGATGGGGAAGACAGAAGCGCTCCCATCACAGACACGATGTGACAGCAGTTAAGCACTCTGGGCAGAGAAGGAGCAGCTGGAGGGAGCAAAACCCCTCAGGGGCCACCTCTGGAGGGAAGTGAGGGCTTGCTTTCGCGGGGTTTTCTTTATGGTTTTGTTTTCCAATTTCAACGTGAGTTTACTGGCATAGAACAATGAAAGAATGCTGTTTGCAAGAAAAGGCCTGTCTCCCTCCCTGATGCGTGCCCTCCCCAGGCACCCGCCGCGGCCCCGTGGGCCCTCCCGGTGCCGGCTCCTCACCTGAGGATGTGAGCCACCTCCTGGGAGGTCCGGGGCCTCAGCAGCACCTTGCCACCACCTGCAACACCAAGGAGCACGTTACACTCACGGAGGGCAGCGCTCAGTCTACCCTCCGGAAAGGGAAGATCCTCCTTCCTCTGCAGGCCACCCGCACAACCGCGGTCAGCAACAAGCCCTTGAACCTCAAGGACAAGGGCGAGGTGTCAAAAACGGGCCCCACCTCCCTGGGCGGGGAGGCCACGGCACCGATGTCCAGGCCCACGTCCACGGCCGGGGGCACCTGCCTGGCTGCTCGCTGGGAGTGACTGTGTTTCCCCCATAACCGCACATCCCTTGTGGGGAGACACCTGACATCAAGTCAGTGACCTGTCCGAATCCATCCCTCCACCTGTGTGTAGTACTGGACTTTCTGCCGCGGGGAGGGGCTTCCCATCCTCCTCCTACAAGTGTTTCATCAAAGCGGTGTGTGTGCACGGCTCTTGTTTTATGTACCAGGTGCCTGCTCTCAGCTGTTTCGATTTATGGGATGCCCAGAGGTGGCCAGCAGGAGCCCCTGGACGCCAGCCCATCAGTGTTCCTGACCACCGCCTCCCAGAGACAGGCAGGCTCTCTCTGCCCCTCTTTGTTCCAAATGCAGAAGCAGGTGAGGAGGCTTCAGGAAGGCGGGAGGCACAGGACCCACCCTCCCCGCCCCGCGTCAGTGACTTCTCATGCGGCTTTGAGATCTGGCTGTAGTTCTTAGCTTACTTTTTTTTGTTATAAATTATAAATATATATATATTTATAATCCTTGCTTTAAATATAACTTAATCATATGTTTACATACTTTAATTTTTAATAAGGGCTGTGTTTCACAACTGGCTTGCTGCAAAATTCTAACAATTTTTCAGTAACTGGCCCTCCCAGCACACCCCTGCCCGAGCCTCCAGGAGGCCTTAGGGCTCTACTGTCCACCTCAGGACACTGGCCAAAGGGAAGCAGCCGTGGACGTGCTGCTGGATGATGACTGTGTTTCCTCTGGGACGTGTGGGAGGAAGCAGGGAAGGAATCTTCGGGCAGACTGCCCCCAAGGTTCAAAACTCCAGCTATGGGGCGCCTGGGTGGCTCAGATGGTTAAGTGTCTGCTTTCGGCTCAGGTCATGATCCCAGGGTCCTGGGATCGAGTCCTGCATCGGGCTCCCTGCTCAGCAGGGAGCC